ATGGCTGCAACCCAAGTAACCACCACTGGTACAGGCTGGTCATCTCCAAGATTAAAGATGCATACCTCATGGACAAGTTGACAGCACCGGTCATAAACACTTTATCCACATTTCATAAGATTTGGGCACCATGGGAGGAGTGGAAAGCTGAGAATTCTGCAGAACCTCTGCCTTCCAACCATCTGCACTTTTGTTTTGTTAGGTTTTCCTCTTAGGTATGCTATTTGCCACATTGTCTTTTTACGTGTCTATTTTGAATTTCATAGCACATTGCTACTCATTGAATCTGCAGTTGACTAATAAATGTAAATGTAAGCTGAGTCATGTTGACATGTTTGTGTCAGTTATGCTTATATTTAAAATATACGGTAACACCTACAGGCATTTGCAGATACTGTCCTGAAAAAAACAACATTGTTGTACTTGTTTGCCTGTAATTAAAGGAATAATTGAAAGAAAACTATATTACAAATAATAACAAAGTATTTAGCCAGGAAAGGTGTATTCAGATTGCTCTGGTTTCCAAGTAGATCCGGGGGATTTTACTTTTGGCCAACATCCAGTCGATGTTACTATTACCCAAATTTAATGGTACTCAGTTTATCTACCATGGAAGCATGAAGGAGGTCCATAAAAGGATTATTGGAGCAAGTTTGCAAATATTTTGCCAGTATGACCAATCCTTATTTTCCCCCTTTGTTTCCATTTCTTTAGGGGGTTGTGAATGTGTTCATTGGAATTAAAGGGACACTATAGGCACCCAGACCACTTCAGCTCAATGAAGTGGCCTGGGTGCCAGGTCTCCCTTATTTTAACCTTGCAGTTGAAAACATAGCAGTTTCAAAGAAACTGCTATGTTTACATTGCAGAGTTAATCCAGCCTCTAGTGGCTGTCTCCGTGACAGCCACTAAAGGCCGCTTCCGCGATTTACACTGATTAAATTGCACTTATCTGATGCTGGACGTCCTCACGGAGATGCCAAATAACATGAACAAATATGAATGAATGTATTTATAAACTTTTCAATTATATAGATTGTATACTTACAACCTGCACATGAAGCAAGCTGGTGCCAGTCTCACATGCTGATAACTCCATCAGTGATCCCTGTCACGTGTGCATGCATGCTGAAGCAACAGGCATTGGGATGCTACATCAGAGATCGCAGCCCATTGCCATAGTGACTTGTGTGTGTGAATATATATATATATATATACAGGGCCGGACTGGGAAGAAAATTCGGCCCGGGCATTTTTTAATTACAGCGGCCCACTAAAAAGGGGGCGGGGCCAGAAAGGGTGTGTTTTGCCATCACCAATGACAAGCACGCCCCATCACAAAGTGAGCATGTTGGTTCAATGCTCTTCCAGGGTAGACCATGCGCAGAGCTCTGCCACGCGCCACCGATGGCCAGTCCGGGCCTGTATATATATATATATATATATATATATATATATATATATATACAATACCAAATGATTCTGCACTCCTGCTATCCCTTGAAGTGTTGCCTGGTGCTCGACTGAAGCATGTATAGATAGATGAAAAAAGCCAGCACTCTGGGTATTGTAAATAAAAACTTCTCAGGTTTTATTCCAACAGTCAACGTTTCAGTTCTTAATGAACGTTCCTCAGGACATAAATAACCGGTTATTTTCCACATGTTTAATGTACCTCTTTTATGCAATGGCTGCACAGTTATATATTTTTTATGTATTTTATTGTCTTTTGCTGCCATGTGTTCAATGGAGTTTTGCCTCTGTCCTTGGAGATAATTGGATTACTTCCCAATTATCTCCAGGATAGAAGACTCTGTGGAACTGGTTTTGGGCAGAAAAGCCATGCTTCATTTGGTCACAAAGGACTATGATCTATCTTTTGAACCACTGGACCAATTTGTATGATTTTGACGTATGTTTGTATTTGGAGTATGCTGATTCTGAAAATGTACGTTTTAAAGTTATGAATAATGTGGAAAAACTGTATTTCTTTGCCTGTGATAATTACATTACCCATTTTGTAAGGAAATTGTATCACAGGCAGAGTGGAGGATTTTGTGTGAGAGTGTATTGTACGTGTTTATTGGTTGTTTTCCTAAACCCTGTGGGTGGTACTAATGTGTATATAAGAACAATAAACCCACAGTTCTGCCTGTTCCTGCTTGACCCTCAAAACGAAGCCTTGTCTCGTTCTTGGGGGGATTTATTGTATGCTGTTCCAGTTTGACTGCTAGGAGTGTAAACCTATTCGTATGGTTTTTCCTATTCGGCTGTTTACAGCATTCGTATGTTTGAGAGCATTCATATGCTTCTCCGGTTCGGTGGATTGGTGTCTACAGTAGCTGTGCCTGTGTCTCTGGAAGGGAAGATCTATTAAACGGCGGTTTAACCCTTTTATGCCTGGGGGTGCCGTTACATAGACTAACTACACTATTCATCACATAGCGCTGTAACCCTCCCTGCTACACCATAGGTTAAAAAAAAGGAAGCGCTAGATAACGGTATATCTACGTTGTTTTCCATCATATTTTTATTTCTCATAGCAAAGTCAATGGCTACACTAAATTAACAAGCAAGCACACACACTGACTTACAACACGCTACTGTTACTTGTCTTTAACCTTAAAAAATTTGCACAGTCTCTCAAGCCATGCAACTGTAAATCTATGTGTCTGAAAACTATGGTAATCGCTGTTGTGGCATTACTAGACTAAATGTTATCTATATCTATGCACGAAAAAAAAAGAATAAAAAAAAAAAAAAAGAGTATTTATTCATGCATAGAAAATGCAACAGACTGTCTTTTGAACAGAGAGAAAGTGCATAATATAGTGCTAAACCAGTATATAGTACCAAAACCACAATATAAGTAAAGTGCTAAATGCAAAAAACCATTAGAAAGGTATACTGACCAAGAGCAGGAGAAATGAAAACCCCAACATTTCGGCTGCGAAGCCTTTCTCTGGCAGATTTGAGCCGTTTTCGGCCGAAATGGGATAGGCTGCCGAAATTTCAGTGCATCCCTAATATATATATATATTTATTTATTTATTTATTTAAAAATTCAAAAAATTACTTGGCACTCCACCTTTCACTGGCAAAAATGTTGATACTTGCCTGGGTGCAAGTCATCAACGTTAAATATGTAGAAAGCAAACAAACAACAATGCACTCACAGGTCTTCAAACATCAAAAAAGTGTATTTCAAATCTTAAATGCTGTGTACATCAAAATCAACGTTTCGACCCCAAAAAGGTTATGGTGGGGAAAAAACTGTGATTGAAAACCCCTTCCACCTGAAGTCTGTGGACAGTTAATACAAAGTTAAACAAAAATCTGCACACCAGTCAAGCCATAAGACTTGCTTTTCCAACAGAAATCACAAATCTTCAGTGATGTTACTACTGCAAAGGATTCTGGGTAGGCATATGCAAATCAGTTTAACAAAGAATCACATTTTTGCCTCATTCCATTTTAAACATGGATTCCTTTGAGTCTGTGTTTGCTGTATTCAACAGCTTTGAAACATAACTTAGGAAAAGATTTCTTTGGGAAAAGCAAGTCTTATGGCTTGACTGGTGTGCAGATTTGTGTTTAACTTTGTATTAACTATATATATATATCCTAGAAGTCAGTACTCATATTATCATGCATACATTATAAGTGTGCTGATTGGGCCAATTATGCAACTTACAAGATCGAGCACAAGATATATTCTTCTTCCCATCAACCCTTTGATATGGAAGAGTGACTTTTGCTTGTAACCTACAGGGATTTGAACTGAGCATAGCCGATTTTTATTGGGGAGGGACTTGGGGGACTGAAGCTCCAGGTGTGGAGCTATTTCGCTCTGGATCTCTGTGGCTGGTGGAGGGGCATCAGTATATCAGTGTTTTTAGTTTTACATCAGGCAGCTGCTTTTCAAAAGAGCCACCTTTTATTTAAAAAACAAGTAATAAATCTGTAATATATTGCTATGTCAGACTACTTAGGGGGGATGTTAGTGAAAAAAGCTTTGGTGCACACCTAATAGGTAGCGTGGTGGGACTGTATTAAAAACTCGGCTGTGCAGGATGTGCTTGTTTCCAGCAATGCATTCCACTGAGATCCTGGAGAGCATCGAAGCATGTCTTTCATGGGTAGACAGGAAGGGATATGTCGTGATATTTCAAAAGCTCTCTCGGGGTGTAAAGATAATCAAGTTTTCCCTTGGGCTGAAGCCCCTGGTACTGAGCTAAAGCTGACATAAGGGAATATTTATCTATTACAGTCATCATCTGGCAAGAGTGCCTCCTTTGAGGCCCTGTAGAGTGAGATATGTCTCTCCCTTGCTAGGCACACAAGGGTAAAAACTAGTAATGGGTCTTCTAACAATCTGCTGTTGCAAACGAAGGGGTTAAGGGACGGGGTATCTGCCAGAAGCACCTAAGTAGCAAATAATTGTCATCCACCCGAGAACGTTATTTATCTGCAAACAGCTAGGGATAGAGCCATGCTTTCAGAAAACCAGGGATTCTAGCAATCCGGTACTATTGACACCTAGTTAGCACTAATTTCTCAATTTCTCAAAAATGCATGATTGTTTTCTCGAGTACTTATAATGGTTTCTTCTAGGTAGAAAAATACACCCATCTTTTGGAGAACAAAAATGCAATTTGGGTCAATATTCTGCATGTTATTTTGCAATAATGTATAACAGGCAATAGCCAACTTTTAAATAATGTATATTGTATTAATATTAATATAAAACATATTTTTACTTCGAAAAATTTCAAGTAGTCCAAGAAATTATGTTTGCGTAGTAAAAGTGCAATACAATTGTCTTTTACAAGTACCCCACCATATGTTTTAAAACCAGAGCGTTGATATTTAGAAAATACAAAAAAGGCAGTTACAGATAGATGAATGGATGTCATTTTTATATACAAAAATACATTTTTAATTTTATTTTATAAACAGAAGTAAACAGAAACACTACTCTTAAAAGAATGTCTTTATTTTCTCAATGAAACAATATCTGCAAAAAATAAATAAACAGCATTTTCAAACAAACAATCATTTTGATTCAGTACGAATGCATTCTTAGCTTTGTGAACTTTTGCTGACTATGTAAACGTTAAATTATGCAGAATATATGCCTTTCCAGTGCAGTTAGTATTGTACCAAAAAAATAACAATTTCATATTAAAAAAAACAGCAGTCAAGTTAAAAATTAATTGAACTAAAACAAAGTGGTGAGATTATTTATGTGATTTACAATAAAAATTCCAAGTTAAATGAACACTATAACAAAATGAACATATAATTCATAAAAATGTTTAGAGATTTATTCACTGGGGGAAAAAATGAATTCTATTTTTTTTCTAAATTCATTCCAAAATAACAAAACTTGGAATATAGGCCTTGATTTAATATTTTCAGAAAAGCATTTGAAAGTATTTAAAGGGACACTATAGTCCCCAAAACAACTTTAGCTTAATGAAACAGTTTTGGTGTATAGATCATGCCCCTGCAGTCTCACTGCTCAATTCTCTACCATTAAGAAGTTAAATAACTTTGTTTATGAACCCTAGTCACACCTCCCTGGATGTGACTTGCACAGCCTTCATAAACACTTCCTGTAAAGAGTCAGCTAATGTTTATCCTTCCTTTATTGCAAGTTCTGTTTAATTTTGATTTTCTTATCCCCTGCTATGTTAATAGCTTGCTAGACCCTGCAAGAGCCTCTTGTATGTGACTAAAGTTTAATTTACAGAGCAAGAGATAAAATTGTTTAAAGGAACACTATAGTCACCTAAATTACTTTAGCTAAATAAAGCAATTTTAGTGTATAGATCATTCCCCTGCAATTTCACTGCTCAATTCACTGTCATTTAGGAGTTAAATCACTTTGTTTCTGTTTATGCAGCCCTAGCCACACCTCCCCTGGCTATGATTGACAGAGCCTGCATGAAAAAAGAAACTGGTTTCACTTTCAAACAAATGTAATTTACCTTAAATAATTGTATCTCAATCTCTAAATTGAACTTTAATCACATACAGGAGGCTTTTTCAGGGTCTAGCAAGCGATTAACATAGCAGGGGATAAGAAAATCTTAATTAAACAGTACTTGCAATAAAGAAAGCCTAAATAGGGCTCTCTTTACAGGAAGTGTTTATGGAAGGCTGTGCAAGTCACATGCAGGGAGGTGTGACTAGGGTTCATAAACAAAGGGATTTAACTCCTAAATGGCAAAAGATTGAGCAGTGAGGCTGCAGGGGCATGTTCTATACACCAAAACTGCTTCATTAAGCTAAAGTTGTTCAGGTGACTATAGTGTCCCTTTAAGGTAAATTACATCAGATTGAAAGTGAAACCAGATTTTTTTTATGCAGGCTGGGTCAATCAGAGCCAGGGGTGGTGTGGCAATTGCTTCATAAACAGAAACAAAGTGATTTGACTTGAGAAACCTGAGAGGCATGATCTATACGAGGGATAGGCAACCTTTAGCACTCCAGATGTTGTGGACTACATCCCCCATAATGCTCTTACTCCCATAATGCTGACAAAGTATCATGGGAATTGTAGTCCAAAACATCTGGAGTCCCGAAGGTTGCCTATGCCTGATCTATACACTAAAACTGCTTTATCAAGCCAAAGTTGTTTAGGTGCCTACAGTGTCCCTTTAATATTTTTGGATAAACTTTTAAAATTATTTCATATTTTAATATGCTATGATATATATATTTTTTGTATATGATATATTTTTGATATTCTAATAATTTGAAAAGGTAATTTTACAAGTTGACCTAAAAATTTTAAATAAACTGAAAAACTTATCTTAAAAAAATATATCAAGGCCATTGTTAGAAAACATCATCTGAGCTATTTCAGAGTTTTCATAAATTTGGTTTATAGTTCACCACAATATGCTGTTCAGTGAATAAATCTTTTCATCTAAATTTTGTCTATGCGGTTGTAAATATAAGCAATTGGTAAGCAGTAGATTATATTAAAATGTTTCATATGTGCATTTTTTGAAACATTAGTCATGTATTTAACACCTCTTTGAATCGCATGCTATATTGCCTATTTTTACCATACTGTTGTGCATATTGGAAACAGAAATATCATACAGGATTATTTACTAAAGTGAGAATTCAAAGTGAATTTAAAATTTAAGGCTGAGTAGCCAAACTAAAAACATAGCTGGCATAGGGAATTTTTCCAGTTTGGCTATTAACCCATTGTACAGCACTATGGCATCTGATAGCGCTATATAAATAATAAAAATAATAATGACCTTAAATTTGAAATTTACTTTGACTTTTCACTGTAGTGAATAACCTTGATAGTAATAATAATATCCAGTTGTGTTGCAATTTAAAAAAAAAAAAAAAAGGTTGTCATTTAAGATGTGATAAATATGTACAGGACCATACATTCCACTGAACAAATATCCATAATGGTTAAAACACTGTTTGATAGGGTCATGCATTTTTCCATTTCCAGTCAGTGGTAAAACTAAATGTTATATATGCTCGTGTTCATATTTAGTAAAATATTGTAAGAACAGGATTAATTTACAGCAGCAAACTTTTCGCTTTTTTTTTAAACAAATCCAACTTTTGTACATTTTCTGTATTATTATTTTTTAATTATAAGTCTATGAAGTGCTTATTTCTTTTCACGAAGCCTTTAAGAATACAAAGTGCTTTACTAAAGACAGTGTTCCAGGAAGGTCTTCAATGAAATTCAAAGTGTAATATAGAGTAACAAAGAATCTCGGGTTTCATGTTTCCCTTATCATTTTCTAATATTTAATGTATAAGGTTTCAAGTAAGAGTTCTTCCAAATTGATTTCTCCTGAGATTGGCCTGAAAAACAGTTCCGTAATAACTTTGGGGTCAACTGATTTTAAAATGTCTAGTGCTTCCAGTATCCACATCAAACGAGAATATGATGTACTGTGCATCATTGATGTGAACTCCATGAGAGTACGCTGGGCTTCCAGCTGCAGAGTCTGAACATATTGAGGGAATCGCATACCATCAATCCCTGTAGAGAAAAGGCAAAAAGAAACAACTATTAACACAGAATGCAAAAAGAATAAAAAGTTAACCATATCTTTAGCACTGATTATAATTTCACTCCTCCCACTTTGACTTATAGTTCCGGATTAAGTCTGGTGAAGATCATAATGATGGGCCTAACTACAGAATCTTATTAATGGATAACACTTAAACAGCCATACCTCCTAAATATCATATCTGGAGGAGGTGGTGCTGGAGGAAACTCACTGGATGCATTTATAAGAATACACATACCCGATGCTAATCTCTTGATGTCATCTCTCAACCAAAACCATATCCGTCAACATTGAAGCAGGACGTCTATGGGTGGAACAAAAGGAGATGGTCCAGTGATGCAAATTCTGTCACTGTGATGCCCAAAGAGGTTGAGCTGCCCAGAAAGGGAGTGAGTAAAGAATTGAAAGGTCAGCCTGTTGTGAATATACATCAGGCCTCCTGCCGATCACATAGGTCGGCCAACTAAAGATGAACTATACAGATATCGTTTCAGCACCCTGAGCTTGGCCCAAACACATCTAATGATGTGCATGCTCTACGCTCTCTGGGACAGTTCTCTGATGTTGCCCAGCACTCACTTGACCACTCCTCTCCTTACTAACAGGCAGAAGCTCCTGGTCCCTACGAGGTTTCCATACTTAATGCTCTCTGCACAAAGCAAGAGCAAATTAATGGGCCTGTTCCATAGGCGCGAGCCTTGACCTGGAGCCCTAGTCAAACAATTTAACCATTTTAGAACTGTTTGACTTCTTGCCTGGTGTCTGTCAGGTACTGGTCGTTTCCCGTCTCCACTACTTTAGACAGAGCTATGTACAATGTTGGGGCACTCATAACACTTAGCCACTGCAGGGTGCTATAGTATTGGAGTGTTTCTTTAACCCCTTAAGGACCAAGCTTCTGGAATAAAAGGGAATCATGACATGTCACACATGTCATGTGTCCTTAAGGGGTTATGCCAATACACAACTGTTGCTTAGAAAGATAAGACTTTGACCCTGTCCACGCTAAGCAACTCTGTGGGCTAGATTTGAGAATGGATACAATAGGACATATAATGAGGCCAAATAAATTGTGTTAAACGTTGTGTTGATGCCCATAGTTTTGCTTTAAAGCAGGAGTGCCAAAAAGGTAGATCCCCAGAAGCTGTAGAACTACAACTCCCATTATGCTTTGAATGCCTTTGCAATGACAAAGCATCATGGAAGCTGTAGTTTTAAAACATCTGGGGATCTACCTTTTGGGCACCCCTCCTTTAAAGGAACATGTATTCCTGACACTATAGTGACTCTGTGGATATTTAGGTCCCTGGCCCCACTAGATTGCTCTGAAGCATTGATATTACTCACCCTTTCCCCACGCCACTCTGGTCTCACCCCCCACTGTGGCTAAGATAATCAATTTTGATGATCTCAGCCAATTAAAATTTCTCATCGGAAAGCATTGGGAGGCTATTACGGCAAAACACTGCACCAGTCAGCATCTCATAAAGATGTTCTGAATCAATGCAGATCATGGAGAAACTGAATGCCAGTGCTGCACTGACCGAGGAAAAATTTGAGTGACTGCCACTAGAGGTGCAACTAGGCTACAATGTAAACACTCTGAAAAGGCAGCGTTTAACTTGAAAAGTCCACAGTCAGGCTATAGATACCAGAACCACTACATTACGTTTTAACTGTTCTGGCGACTATAGTATCCATTTAAAGATATTTTAAGTCTTAGGGTGTTGAGATTTTATGTGAAAATTTGATAGAGAACCTTTGATTGAGAAACACTCCACTGAAAACTAAAAAATATATATTTTTCACTATCTGGTATAATAACACTTAAAAAAAAACATTCATCTATTTAATTTTGTATGTTTGGGTGTATTTGAAAATGTACCATGCAAAACCTGCAAATCCAGTATTTTTAGCTGTTGCTAGCCATTCCTTTTAATCAGAGGTTTCTCACTGAGAATGAAGTACAACTCATTGAGAAGACCTAGCCGGGAGCAGCTACAGTAACACAGCCAGGGGATTTAAAGGCATGTGCACTTTAGTCTATGTCTGCCACTTCTGTTACCTCATACAGAATACCTCATACATGGTCTGATTAGAGTGCTCCTTTAAAACTGGAGAGCAATGGGAAATGCCCTGAAATATAAAACATATACTAACTGGAGAAACATATTGGAAATGTATATCTTTAAGTAATAAAGACTAATAAAATTAACTATGTGGTCAGATACCAAAGCATCATCATCATCATCATCAATCATGTGTTCATTTGCATGTGACAAGAAACTCCAAGATCAAATCAAACAGTTCATTCAGTACATAAGATAGGAAACTACACATAATAAACAAAATGCATTTTATGACTGTCCTGGTTGAACTGAGATAAAAAAAAACTCCTGGCTCTACCAGTCTCCTTCACTCCAAGGTCTTTCAAGGTGATTATAAAATTAAATTGCTCATATCTGCAAAACCAAATTACCATGCATGTTATTTAACTCTTCTCGCGTTTCTGCTTTGATACTCCCACATACACGGATTCTTCCAAACTAATGTAACAATATAACTGTGCACAGGATTTTCTTTGAAATAGTGCTCCATATCTTCTGAGGTGTGTATATATGTTCTGCCAATAGCTTACACCCTATACGAAATTAGGTATGAATTAAATAATTAGTTAAGGACCAAACCTCTGGAATATAAGGGAATCATGACATGTCACACATGTCATGTGTCCTAAGGGGTTAAGACTTCCATAGCAGCCCTCTGAAAAATGTCCTGCTTTCCTGGTGGGCCAGTCTGGCCCATGTTAGTGCTGAACTTAGCACAATTCCTTGCCTATAGGGCAATGAACCTGGTACCAGTGTGTGTCTGTTAGTTTGTGTGTCTGTTAGTGAGTGTGTGTGTGTGTGTTTGTGTCTGTTAGTGAGTGTATGCGTATCTGTCAGTGAATGTGTGTGTGTGTGTTTAGAAGGCGGGGCAGGAGGAAAGGGTTGGGAGGGGGTGGCGCAGGGCGGGGACGCCTGCAGCACAAAACCAGGATACACCACTGCCTGGTACTAGCCTTCCCATCAGTGTTAAACGCATGCAAAGCATACTGGGCATTGTAGTTCTACAAAATGTGGGAATCTGTCTTTTGGTAGGTCTCTATGAGACCTGATTGAAATAGTCAAGTTTTACTCTGCTGTTTCTGCGGAAATTCCTTCAGAACGGGAATGTTTTACCTTGCAGGTTTAAAACCAGAGATACATTGAGATGGCTCACAGCACAGCGCTCCCTTCTTGCCCGTCTCTGTTTGTAGTGTAGCCGAGGAGGGGGGGAGATGAGACACATGGAGGGGCGGGGGGAATGAGACATGTATAGGGGCTGGGTAGAATGAGACACATGGGGGGCCAGTGGTTTCTAGTTACGCCTCTGAGGCTAGTGATAGGGTACAGAAAGGTTTACTTTAATTTTAGGGCAGCATGGGACATATACTGTATGTCCTGGTCTGTCCAATATTGGTATGAGTTACATCTGCAATTGCTGCCATTAATTCAGCTCCACTCCCAATAGTAATATGCTGGCAGAAGAACGGTGGAGATAGAATATTATTTATAAACTTCTTTAAATACCCAAGAGAGTATTTTCCCAATACACGTATATATTGTGTATCTTTTGTCTCACATGATATTTTCAAGTTATAGTTAGCATAAATATATTTAGGCTAGTGTGGGGATTAACCCCTTCAGGACGGAGTCAATAGTACACGTTCTGATCAAAACTAAATGTAAACAAAAATTGGAATTTGCGCTATATGTCTGTTCAACCGTAATTCACCTCTTTCATATTAAATGCACCCACCCTTATTATATATCATTTTGTTCAGGAGAAACAGGGCTTTCATTTCATATCAAATATTTATATATAAAACATAATTTATTATGAATAAAATGAAAAAAAACTGTGAGAAAACTAGAAATAGAAGACCCATGGAATTTTCTTTGTATTTGAGGACTTAGAAACATTGAAACATAGAAAGTAACGGCAGATAAGAACCATTCGGCCCATCTAGTCTGCCCAATTTTGCGAAATACTTTAGTTATTCCCTGGCCTTATCTTAAGTCTAGGATAGCCATATGCATAGGCGTGCGCACGGGCTCATGCAGAGCCGGCGCTATCCGAGCGCCGGCTCTGCTCTCAGCCTCCCTCCCTCCCCACTGACCCACATGCAGGGAGGGAGGCAGGAGAGGACCCAGCGGAGCTATTGCCGGCAGCTCCGCCGGGTTCCTCTCGCTCAAATCTCGCGAGAGTGAACTCTAGCCCCACAGGGGCTAGAGTTCACTCTCCACTGGACCACCAGGGATCACAGCAGCAAGTATCCCCTCCTCCACTGGACCACCAGGGAAGGAAGCAGCAGCACGATCCCCCCTCCCTACAAAAGGTAAGAAGGGAGGGGGGATAGCAAGTAATGTACCCCCACCTCCACCCCCCACAATCACCCACACAGCACATACACATTCAGCACCCACAGACATACACAGCACCCACAGACATACAGCACCCACAGACATACACAGCACCCACAGACATACACAGCACCCACAGACACACACAGCACCCACAGACACACACAGCACCCACAGACACACACAGCACCCACACACAGACACACACACACAGACACACACAGCACCCACACACATACAGCACCCACACACATACAGCACCCACACACATACAGCACCCACACACATACAGCACCCACACATACAGCACACACAGCACCCACACACATACAGCACCCACAGACATACACAGCACCAACACACATACAGCACCCCACAGCACACAAACAGCACCCTCACACACAGCACACAAACAGCACCCTCACACACACACAGCACACTAACAGTACCCTCACAAACACAAACAGGACCCTAACAACACACACACAGCACCCTACCAGCACCCTCACACACAACACACAAACAGCACCCTCACACACACACACACACTAACAGCACCCTCACACACAGTACATTAACAGCACCCTCACAAGCGCACACACACACAGTACATTAACAGCATCCTCACAAGCACGCACACACAAACACCCTCACCCACATAGCACACTACCAGCATCGTCACACACACACACACACATCACCCTCACACAGCACACACACACACACACACAGCAGTGTGTGTATGTGTGTATATATATATATATATATATATATATATATATACATACATACACATACATATATACATATACACATACATATATACATATATATATATGCGGCGTGTGCTTGTGCTTTAGGGTGCACACCCTAATGCAATAGGCTGCGCACGCCTATGGCCATATGCCTATCCCATGCATGCTTAAACTCCCTCACTATGTTAACCTCTACCACTTCAGCTGGAAGGCTATTCCATGCATCCACTACCCTCTCTGTAAAGTTTCAAAGTTCTCTATATTATTTTTAAACCTTTGCTGCTCTAATTTAAGACTATGTCCTCTTGTTGTGGTACTTTTTCTTCTTTTAAATATAGTCTCCTCCTTTACTAATTTAAAGATGTTTATTTTGGGGCACAGTTATTAGGTAAGTACTAGGGTCTTAAGAAGCTTTCATTAGTGGTTGACCTGCTTTCTGCTTCCCATAGAACAGTGATGGCGAAACTATGGCACGTGTGCCACAGGTGGCACGCCGGGCCCTCTCTGTGGGCACATGGCATGGGTCGCCGGGGGAGGGCGCCGCTGGCACTGGTTACACCGGACGGCAGCATAGCAGAGTAGGCACCTGCCTGCCCAAAACGGCAGGTGCCTACTCTGCTTTCGTGTCGGGAGGACCCGGAAGCAGGGAGAGGGATCTGGGAAGCAGCATCCCTGTCCTCCTGAGAGCAGGCTGTGTGGAGCATTGCCGCGCGTTACCATGGCAACGCTCCACACAGCATTCTGCGCACGGGAGGGCAGGAGAGCTGCAGAACCTGTCCTACATACTTACCACCACCGGACCACCAGGGATGGCTGTGCCCCCCCCCCTCCTTCACCAAAGGTAAGAAGAAGGGAGGGGGGATAAAGATTTTAATAATATATTTGCAGCACCCTCCCCACAAAGCACCCTTCTTTCACACACACACAGCACCGCCCCACACACAGCACCTCCTATCACACACACACAGTACCCCCCCACACACACACACAGTACAGCATTTTTATTCCTGTGAGTTGTGTGTAGGCAGGGACCCAGTGCACTGCTTTGCCCTGGGGCCTTTAATGTTGTTAAGATGGCACTGGCGGGTCGGTGGGTGGGATGGAGGACTGCAAGCTGTTCCAGCACTGCTCCCTCTGCTGATGCTGCCGGGAGACAGGAAATTATGTCAATCAGGCGCCAGCACCTGATTAAAGTTATTTTCTGTTTCCCAGCGGCCTCAGCGGAGGGAGCAGCCTGGGTGGACTTCAAACCCCCATCCCCACCTGCACCAAAACAATGCTGAGAGGGAGAGGGGGATATACTAGGGGAGGGTGGATATGCTGGGGTAGTGAAGGGAAGATGCAGAGGGAAGAGAAGAGGAAAATCTGGGGGAGAGAAGAGGAGATGCTGGGTGGAGAGAAAAGGAGATGCTAGGGGGAGAGAAGAGGAGATGCTAGGGGGAGAGAAGAGGAGAAGTTGGAGGAGAGAAGGAGAGGAAGAGTAGAAAGGGAGAGGAAGAGTAGAATCTGGGAGAGAGGAAGAGGAAATGCTGGGTGGAGAGAAGAGGAGGAGAATCTGGGGGAGAGGACAAGGAGATGCTGTGGGGAGAAAGGCAGAGGAAGAGGAGGAGAATCTGGGGGAGAAAGGGAGAGGAAGAGGAGAATCTGGGGGAGAGAAGAGGATGAGATGCTGGAGGGAGAGGAGGAAATGTTGGGGGAGAGGAGGAGGAGATGCTGGGGGAGAGAAGATGAGATGCTGGTGAGAGAAGAGGAGATGCTGGGTGGAGAGACGAGGAGAAGCTGGGGAAGAGAAGGAGGAGAATCTGAGGGAGAGGAGGAGGAGATGCTGGGGGGGAGAAAGGGAGAGGAGAATCTGAGGGAGAGGAAGAGGAGATACTGGGGGAGAGGACGTGGAGATGCTGGGTGGAGAGAAGATGAGATGCTGGGTGGAGAGAAGATGAGATGCTGGGTGGAGAGAAGATGAGATGCTGGGTGGAGAGAAGATGAGATGCTGGGTGGAGAGAAGAGGAGGAGATGTTGGTTAAGAGGAGGAGGATACTGGGTGGAGAGAAGAGGAGATGCTGGTGGAGAGAAGAGAATATGGGTGGAGAGAAGAGGAGAAGCTGGGGGAGAGGAGGAAGAGATGCTTGGGGAGAAAGGAAGAGGAAACTCTGGGGGAGAGGAGGAGGAGATACTGGGGGAGAAGAGGATTATGAGATGCTGGAGGAGAGGAGGAGGAGGAGATAATGGGGGGAGAAGAGGAGAGGAAGATGATGCTGGGTGGAGAGAAGAGGAGAATCTGGGGGAGAGAAGAGGAGAATATGGGGGAGATTATAGAATCTGAGGGAGAAGAGGAGGTGATGCTGGGTGGAGAGAAGAGGAGTCGCTGGGTGGAGAGAAGAGGAAAATCTGGGGGAGAGGAAGAGGAGATGCTGGGGGAGAAAGGGAGAAGAGGAGATGCTGGGGAAGAGGAAGATGAGAATCTGGGGGAGAGAAGAGGAGATGCTGGGGGAGAGGAGGAGGAGATGCTGGGGGAGAGAAGAGGAGAATCTGGGGGAGATGAGAAGGAGGAGAATCTGGGGGAGATGAGAAGGAGGAGAATCTGGGGGAGAGAACAGGAGGATCTGGGGGAGAGGAGGAGGAGGACAATCTGGGGAGAGGAGAAGGAGATGCTGGGGGGGAGAAGGGGAGAGGAGGAGGAGAATATGCTGTGGGTAGAGAAGGGAAGATGCTGGGGGAGAGAAGAGGAGAATTAGTTCGGACAACTGTAGGAGTTGTTTTTTCTAAACTTAAACCTCAGTATTCAGGTTTAATTGCCATGTTGGCACTTTGAAAAAGTTGGCATGTATTGCGGTTTGGGCACTCTGGCTCAAAAAGATTCGCCATCACTGCCATACAAGCTCTCACAGGTCCCAGGCTCCACAGAGACTGTGTTATCACAGCATCCCTCCCAGCAACCCTTGTTGTTTTGCAACTCAACATGGGACATTTGGTGAAATATCAGTAACTTGTTTACCTTCTTGCTAGAATGTATTCTATAGTTATTTAAATTGCACTTATGAAAGTTCAAGGCCTTATAATTGTATAGTAATAAAAGCCAGGCTAGCATATACAATATGAGCATTTCACACTATGTAGTGTATATGCCCAATTTTACTTTAATAACAGTGTTAGTAGAACAGTTAATTGAACTAAACCATAGATATTCTGCTTTATGTTTTGGAGTCTTTCAATGTAGAGTGGGAACATATAGTTCAATATAAAGCACAAAAGTGGTCAGTTTACCAGTGAAAGTAAAACCTAGATACTGTCAGTTGATTCTCCTATTCATACCATTTTAAACATTGAGCACTTCGTAACAAAATGTAAAATCAAATAGAATGTCATACAAATTAGCACATAAATGAAAACCAACACTACTCTGCATTATGTAAAACAATATGGAACAACGTTAGAATGTGTTAATATATAGGCCAGTATATAAAATGTTAATTCCCATCGTCAGAATATGGAATACAGTATCTAGCAAATGGTGATCTGTCATTTTGTTTTAACTCAGCATCTGGATACTTCATATGGAGGGGAGGTTCTTAGACAGGACAATATTTCTTTGAAGGGATTTGTGAGCAGTTTACATTCTTGTGAGCTATAAAATTGACTGATCTCAAATTAGTAACCCATTAATTTGGCAAATTGCCTCTTTATTCACAGGGAAACCTATTCTGTTATTGTATATTTTCAGGGATAACGATGTGCAGCTTTTTAGGATATATCCTTAAAATTGGAAGCTTTTATATTGTTAGATGTAACAATGTCTACTAATGGCTGCACATATGTTGAAAATATTTTTTTAACTGCGCAGTATCCCATTTTAGGAATGCCTTATTAACAAAAGTGTTTATATATATATTCTACGATTGTAAATTATTATTAGTACTGTTTCCAAATGCATTCTTTTTTAATTAGTAACCTAAATGTATTAAGGTTTCAATATGGACTTTTTCAGTAGTTCAACTTCAAGGGGTCACTCTCCACCAAAGCCACTGGCGAGTTTAGTGTCAATTCATATTGTGCACTCCCCCAGGTAAAAACACTGAATAAGCGCTACGGAATCTGATGGCACTATATAAATAATAAAATAATAATAATAAAACAATTGTGAACTTACTGAAACCTGATTTTCTACCATAGTTTAGCTGCAGACCCAAACCAGCTTTGAAGCTCATTGGTTAACAGCTTGCCTAACATGAGTTCTCCACTACAATGTTCCAGAGCCAGTCGAGAGTGACCAAAGTTGGCTACTTAATTGGGATACTAAAACACAAGCATTAATAAACACATATTCTCTGGAAAATAATATGGAAAGGCGTGGAAGTTTCTCCTGGTGCAAAATATCAAATTTTTTTACATTCAGTTTAATCTTACCCGAGTGCGATTTTGTTTAAAATTATATTGTAATACATTGACAAAATCTTACCTGGATTAAACAGCGCCATGCCTTTTAGATAAGCATATTCTTTTGTACATATATCTAGACTCCAGATTTTACAGAGAAACATTTGTATTCTCTGAACTTCTATTAGTGGTACTCCTGCATCAGACTTCATTGTCACTTGACCAGCTGTAGATGGCTGATTAAGAAGTATTGTCTTCAACAGGCTTGGGACAGTAAGTTCTTGCAGTTCAAAATCAACTTTTTCCTGCGCAAGCCCCAGTACAAAAAGTGGAGCCCAACACTTATGTACAAGTAAGATCTGGTCTTCCTGGGGTAGCTGGTAAAAAGAAGGTAAGTTTCTAATAAACGCTACAGTCTTCAGTAACACCTCAGATGCTTTCTTGCAAATCACTTCAGGATTTTTCAGCAAGACCTTTTTGTTGCCCTCACATGGGCATCCTCTAGCCATGGTACAGATGTGATTGAGGTTATCATGTTGATTCTTATGTGCCTGTAGTGTATCTGTATTCAGCATTCGGAAAAGGATGCTCTCCACAGGGTTTTTGTTACACTGACAGCTTCCCAACCTCTCAGACCTGCAAGCCATGGTAATGTTTCAGCCACTTGTGAGGAAAGCACAGAAGCTGATTGATACTCTGTGTGTGTGTGTGTGTGACATAAAGCAAAGCAATGTTTCTGCCAAACCAGTAGGTGATGTGATCTTTTTATATGCCTAGCAAGTTTAACAGTAATGTGACCTGTGTGCTAAAATTACCTTGAACTTTATTCCTAGTAGAATGTTTTCATTCACAACTGAACGAGGAGTGGTTTAGATGCCAGTATCAGTAAGGCTGTAATGATCTGAATGAGAGAGCTGATCACAGATAGAGACTGAACAATAAGCGGAGTGTTATTTACATCCCTTGTCACTGAGATATGGTGGAACGCTGTGCCATGATATCAAGGTCACTTATCAGGCGGCCAACTGTAATAGCTTTACCCAGGCAAGAATCTATCGTGTAGCCTGACCTTGGAGCATCAGTCAACAGACCACAGTGTGAAGTACAGTGACAGCACTTGCTTGTGGAAAGCAAATACATTTAAAAGTTTCTGTTGTTTAAAGCGATACTATATACATATCTGTATTTCTAACGCTAATATTCCAGCTATGGTTTAGATTATCAGGCCCCCTAAAAAAAGTTGATAAAGTTATGATTTATGAGACATACTTTTGAATGATTCCTGCTAATTAAATGATAATCTACAAAGAAGCATTGCAAGTACACCTGTGCAGCTATGACTGCTCCTGTGCTGCAGTGTTAAAGGGACACTATAGTCACCCAGACCACTTTAGCTCAATGAAGTGGTCTGGGTGCGAGGTCCCTCAGGTTTTAATCCTTCACATTTAAATGCTTTCCTATGGACTGCTAGAATGCTCGAGCTGATGTCGGCGGGGGAGGAGAGGTCACCAGCACTGAGGGAGCCCGGCGCTGGATTAAGGTAAGCTGCTGAAATATGACTAAAACGGCTTTTTAGCCAAAGGACTATGACTAAAACTAAATTGAAATTTGCCGCCAAAGTTAACACTGCTGTGCAGCTTTTGCCTTGCTGCACTACAAGTTTTCTATTCAGAGATGTATTATCTTTTTTTTTTTATAATTCTTTATTTTTTGTAGTGCATGAAAACATAACATGGTAGCTTGCAGTACCCCAACAGCATTTGCAAGTATACAATAAAAACACAGCGTAACAGTTGGTTAGCATTAGAGAATACTGCACAATTTCAATAGTAGATTCTAGTCAGGTTAAGTAAGCTTGTCTAGGCGATTAATAGAAATTAAACTAGGTGAGCAAGAACACCCTGGAGGCCTCTGGATCGGTGATATATCACAGTGCTTAGCTCAAAAACACTTATCAGGGTTAATATAGTGCACTAAGTTCAGATCTGGAAGCATAGGTCAGTGAATAGACAATATTGTCCTCAGGAGTTATGAGTTTAGTTAACTGACATTATGGTGTTGAGCACATGAGTATGTATGTGTTGTTCGCATATGAAAGAATAAGTGTGTAACAGGAGACTTATCAGAATAGGCCAGCTGGGTGACTGTTATGTATTAACAGTGTCACTTAGCCACTCCAGCCGCTGGTAAGTGTGTAACAGGAGACTCTTATCAGAATAGGCCAGCTGGGTGACTGTTATGTATTAAGAGTGTCACTTAGCCCACTCCAGCCGCTGGTATGGCATAGTCCCCCAAGGTGGCTATGGTCTGCCTGGCATGAGAGCCATAGGGTGATGTAGAGGCCTCAGAGACTCCCTATGTGTGCCTTTCCCCTCCGCTGCCCAAGTGGAAAACTCAGGTCTTGCTTCAACGTGCTTCGAAGCAGGCTCATTAACCGCCTGTATGGAGATGAACTGTTGCGGTCTGCGCCATCGGGAGCGCGCCCTCCAAGGATTAGAGGCCACAGGTCAGGCCCGGAGATATAGGGGAGACTGTATAGGTGAGTGGCTTCATTGGTCTTTTAAGGAGTCGAGTGGGAGGGTCGGCGTCAGCCTGTCCCGGAGGCCTGAGGCTCAGTATCAAGCCTTGCTCCGGTGGAGAGCGCACCACCTTGCTGGATACTGGATCCTGATGTGGTTGCAGAGGTGACTCAGCAGGCGACTGTATGTGTGAGAGACCTTGTGCTCTGCTTGCCAGCTTCAGCCAGAATGCGTCAAATACACTGGCACATAGTGGCACACAGATACACACACCTTGACACACAGTGTGTATGTATGTTTCTGTGTATCTGTGTGTAAAAGTGAGTGTATCTTTGTTTGTATGTGCCGGTGTGTGTCTGTGTATCAAGGTGTGTGTATCTGTGTGCCACTATGTGCCAGTGTGTGTATCTGTGTGTCAGTGTGGATGAATCTGACACACAGATACACACTGGCACACACACACACTGGCATGTAGTGGCACACTAAAGATAGAAACACCTATATACACACACACTCAGTGAAAGATACACACAGTGACACTCAGATACACACACTGGTGCATACACTCAGATACACACTGACACAGGTAAACACAGTGACACATACACACAAGTACACACTTAGATACACACAGTGATATAAACACTGACACACAGATACAAACACTCAGATACACACAGTCACACATTAATACACACACTCAGATACACACAGTGACACATACACAGTGACACAAATATTTCAAACAGATATTCACACACACACACACACACTCAAATACACACACATGCCATTTTTTATATTTGCAGTCACCCTCCTGTTAGCTGTTGTCTGCAGGAGGGTGACTTGCTGGCTGAGACTGGTGTGTGTGGGGGGAGCTGCTCACTGCCGGCTGCTGCCTCTCTCCCTCTCTCTGCATTTTCTATATGAAGTGGTCACATCATGCCAGCATCCCATACTAAGGGGGACCCGGTTGCGCAAGTAATCGGCTGTGGTGCTGACCAGGTCCCTTTGCAGCAATGCAAAGGGCCACCTGATGGGCAAATCACTACGGAACCCCAATTTTGTTCTCTGTGGAACCCCAATTGGGAAACGCTGCTCTAACCAAAACGTGTTTTAAAAAAATAACCCTCCATTCCAGCACCAAGTCACCCCATTCCTCCTCTGCTGATGTCACTTGGAGGGAGAGGGATATCATTGAGAATGGGCTGAAAGGAGGGCTTGGGCAGCACGGCAGGTTAGTGCCTACCTTGGACGCCTCTCTCCAGCATGCTGTGCATATGGCAACAGATGTCCAATATGTGCAGAATTGATATTAGCCAGCTCAGAACTCTTGTGCTGGGCTGCCTAATTACACCGCGTACTGCTGCTAGAGGTGGAGTTAAATCACCAGCAACAAAGCAACAGCACCACACTGCATATACAGACTCTAAGCACCATTGCACTTCAGATCACTGAAATGGTAATTGCAGCAATTATTTAAGCCAGTGGTTCTCAAACCAGTCCTCACCAACAGTCCAGTAATATAACATTTGGTTCTTTAACCATTACTTAGTAAGCTTTCCTCTCCCGTCATCTTGTTTTATACATTCTCGACATGCAAGGATGTGGAGATCAGTTTCCAATGGTTTGATGTGAGATCGAAGCTGTGCACTAGCAGTAGCTGAAATATGACATCATAATCTGTCTTCAGACTCTATATTGCAATAGAGAAGCAGGAATTGTGGAATAACTAAAGTGTTTGGCACCCAGAAAGGAGTTCTTTGTCAGGAAATACCGGCTGCTGCTCCTTAAAACCAGTCACTAAGTAGCTGCTAGCGGATCCCATTATTCACCACTAATGACCGGTTTCTAGTTAGTTTCCAACTTTGTCACTACTGTTTAATGGATGCAGTTAATCCCCCTCGCCAAACGATTTCACTTGTAAGGGGCCCGGCGAGATTGAATGCTGAAAATTAGCCTAGATTTTTAGGAATTCACCAGGAAAATCACATTTAAGGACAAAATAACAGATTCAGAAACATTTTTCCTGTTTGGTTGTTTTGTGCTAAAACCTGCAATTCTCTTTGGAATTACAAAAAAATTCAAATTTTAGTGAATAACCCTTAGAGGGCTATTAGGACAATTATCACAACTATCATCAAATTTTCACTTCTCGCGTTTTAAAAGCTTATTGCATCTAATAATTTTTTTGGGGTGTGTGTATGCGTAGGTTTGAACTAATTTACCTGCTGCTGTGATTGCTCTGTGTGAACCTGCAGCAGAATATGTTAGGTTGACCAGCACTTGGCCGGAAAACAATAGAATCTACTCAACATGCCCCCTCACAAAAAAAAAAGGTTTTCACCTGTGTGTCTCTTAACCTCCCCTTTTAATTTCTTATACCCTTTAGCCCAACCATGTCAAACTCACGGGCCACTTGTGGCCCGCAATAAATATTTTTGCAGCCCAGCGAGCCACGAGTTTGACGTTCTTACTAAAGCAGAGTAGGCATCTGCTTTCCTCACATTGCAGGTGCCTACTCTGCCAAATTTACCCAGCCAGAGAGGAGAGGTCCCAGGCGTCAGTGAGGGAGCTCAGTCTTCCTGCTCCTCACTGCTTCCCCGCGCACGCCATCAATAGTGATGCCGGGTGCCGGAATATGACGTCATTCTGGCACCCGGCATCACTAAACTGCATCACTAAAGATCAGAGAGAGGCTCCACACCAGCTCCCAAAGGTAGGGAGCAATAAATAAAATGATGTGAGAGTGTGCAAGCATGGGCGTAGGAACCGGGGGGGCTGGGGTGGACTCATCCCCCCCAGCAAATCATGCGGGGGGGACAGGTTATAGAGAAATCCCCCCCAGCCCCGCCAGCCGCGGGTGCCGTCAAGCTACGTGCGGCTCCATCAGGGAACCGCGCGCACTGCATACTGGGAAGGGGAGCACCTCCCCCTCCGCGCAGGAGCGCTGGGGGTCACGTGACTACCCGGCGCTCAGTCTGAAACTGCGCCCGCCGGACGTCCAGAGGTCCCCCTGCTATGTCAGGTAAAAGAGGGGACAAAGGTAGAAAAATAATTGGAAGGGTTTAGGTGGCGCTACTAATATGGATGGGGGAGGGGTAGGTAGAAAAATAATTGGAATGGTTTAGGGGGGCTACTAATATGGATAGGGGGAGGGGTAGGTAGAAAAATAATTGGAAGGGTTTAGGGTGGTACTAATATGCATGGAATGGGTAGGGGGGTTAATATGCATGGAAGGGGTAGGTGGGGTTCTTATGTGCATGGAAGGGGTACTCTAAAAAGTAATCTGCAAAGTACAAAATGTTTGTGTCATATGTCGTGCTAAAAATTAAGCTAGGAATGTGCATATTTTTTTAAAATCATTTTTAGGATAATGATACAGACATTTTATTTCTTACATTTGTGATGATTCTTTTTTCCTCTCTATATTCAAGGGACACTATAGTCACCAGAACCACAACAGCTAAACGTAGTAGTTCTAGTGTCTAAAGCATGTCTTTTCAATGTAAGCACTGCCATTTCGTAAAAAGGCGGTATTTACATTACCGCTGAGGAATACCTCTAGTGGACACTCAGATGGCCACTAGAGGTGCTTCCTAGTCGAGACATGAATGCCGCCCTATGAAGTATCTGCGCATGTGCGGCAAAGCTGCGCATGTGCAACAGGGAGCAATGGCGCTTCTGAATAGAGGCGTTTTATTGCTCGCTGCTCGCACCCTCCTATTTCGTCATTTTGACAAAATAGGGCGCGCGGCATCAGGAGGATCCTGGCGCTGTATCCAGGTAAGTAAAACCCCTTCCCTGTAGTGACCCTTTCATGTTATTATTTTATCATTTATATAGCGCAAGCAAATTCCATACAATGGGATAAACAACTCCTAGTTTACAGAATAAGAATATACCCGGCGAGTAAAAATGCTATCCCCCCCCAGATTTTTGGACGTTCCTACGCCCATGTGTGCAAGAATGTGTAAATGTGCGTGTGTGCATGTGTGCCTGTCAGTGTGTGTGTCTGTCAGAGTGTATGTGTGTGTGGGTCAGTGTTGCGATGGCCGCGACTGGACAGTGGAGGATCTGGATGTTCAGGGAGGCACGCAACGCCACGTCACATTCTGACGTGACGTCAAAGTGCTCCACCTTCACAGGTTTTCAAGGAGTAGCAGGAGGATCCATTTGGCACAGGATGCAGACGGCGCCATTGGGGTTATACCAGAGGCTGGACTCTGGAGTCGCATACTGGCAGTGGCAATGTGAGTGGAGTCTGCTTGTTGGCTAATATTGTTTTTTGGTTTTTTTAAACAAGGGCTGGGGTTTAGTAGAGGTGGTGCTGGGATTTAGTACGGGGGGACTGGAATTTAGTATAGAGGGGGAGACTATTGTAACGTGAATATACCCCAACACGCAGGATTCAGCTAAACAGAAGACAACACAGAGGAGAGATACGTCTACCGGACCTTAGAATGGCCGGACTTGACGTATATGAGAGGAGGCAGAGTCAGGAACGATCCGAAGTCAAGGGCACAGAGAGACAGCGTAAACTAGGACAAGCCGGGGTCTGGTACACAGTAAACAGCAAGCCGACAACCAGAACAGATAAGGATAAAGAGAAAACGTAGTCAGAAACAAAGCCAAAGTCAAAACGGAGAAACACAACTGAACACAACAAGCGCTAAAGGGAACTGATACAGAAACCACGATAGGGCAGGGAGTAAAGGGAGAGGTAAGTATATATAGCTTCTAAACTAATGTGATTGGCTCCTGTCATATCCACACCCCCAAAAGGTAAGTGTATGGGGAGTGTGGCATGACAGGGGCCAATGGGAGCCTTTTAACAATTTAGGCTCCCACTGTCTCTTTAAGAGCGCGCCCGAGACTCGCGGTGCGCTCTTAGATTCAGGCGGGACATGTGACCGCTTCTCGCGATCACTGCCCGCCTTTCCAGTGAAGCTGTCGGATGAGCCGTGCGCGGCTCGTGCAGCAGCAGGACCACACGCGGCTCGAAGAGAGGACCGCGGCCGGCCCCTGGATAAGGTGAGTAACGCTACAGTACCCCCTCCTGAGGACACGCCCTCCGGGCGGGTAGGGCCAGGCCTGGCAGGAAAACGAGAATGGTAAGAACGCACAAGGCCTGGAGCGTGAACAGCATCAGCTGAAATCCAACTGCGCTCCTCAGGCCCATAACCCTTCCAATGCACCAAGTACTGAAGTCGACCCCTAAGGTAACGAGAGTCAAGAACAGCAGAGACTTCGAATTCCTCATGACCCTCCACGGAGACAGGAGGGGGAGGCGGAGAATGCCGGGTATAGCGGTTGCGTACGTAAGGCTTCAACAACGAGGTGTGAAATACATTAGGAATACGCAGATTCCTAGGAAGACCCAAGGCGTATGAAACAGGATTAACCTTATGCAGTATACGATAAGGACCTATGAAGCGGGGAGCCAATTTCATAGAAGGCACCCGCAGGCGAATATTCCGCGTGGAAAGCAAAACCCTGTCCCCACAACATAAGTAGGAGCCGCCCTGCGATGCTTGTCAGCCTGAGCCTTCTGGCGAGCAGCGGAATCCACCAAAGAACGCTGAACCTGCTCCCAAGTATTACGCAAACCAGCCAAATGCTCATCCAGAACTGGCATGCCCTGTGAGGAGAATGCAGCCGGAAGAACAACGGGATGCTGGCCATAGACAACGTAAAAAGGGCTTTTGCCGGAAGAATCATGAGTGGCATTATTTCGAGCAAACTCAGCCCAAGGAAGTAGGTCAGACCAATTGTCCTGATGGTGAGACACAAAACAACGAAGGTACTGCTCCAGAGACTGGTTGGCACGTTCAGCAGCTCCATTAGACTGGGGATGGTAACTGGAAGAAAATGAGAGAGAAATACCCATTTCTGAGCAAAAGGCTTTCCAGAACCTGGAAAAAATTGGCTACCCCTATCGGACACGATAGATACAGGAATACGATGTAACCAAAATACTTCTCTAGTGAAGATAAGAGCCAGTTCCTTGGATGTGGGCAACTTGCGAAGAGACACAAAGTGAGCCATCTTGGAAAACCGATCTACTATCATCAGGATGACTGTGTTACCATTCGAAGGGGGTAATTCAACAATAAAATCCATGGATAGGTTAGACCAAGGTCTCTCGGGACTGGTAAGGGATGCAGAAGCCCACAAGGAACTCTACGAGATGTTTTCATACATGCACAAGTAGTACAAGCACTTATATAGTCAGTGACATCCTTGCGTAAGGAACCCCACCAAAAATATCGAGAAACTGCTGACATCGTTTTGGTAATACCAGGATGTCCAGCAGTCTTAGTATCATGATATAATGACAGAATCTCCCGTCTCTCTGGAACATCAAGAAACAATTTATCAATAGGCCTCTCGCTAGGTGCCATACTTTGTTTCGCCTGTATGGTCTGCAAGAGGGATGAAGAAATAGACAACATAGTAGTGGCTATTATCCTGTCTGGGGGAATGACAGGAGTAACATCAACCTCCTGTTTGTCAGTAGTTTCGAACTGTCTGGACAGAGCATCTGCTTTAATGTTGCGATCACCTGGCCTATAGGTGATAATATAATTGAAACGGGACAAAAATAGTGACCATCTAGCCTGCCTAGAAGATAATCTTTTAGCTTCACCAAGGTAGGATAGATTCTTGTGATCTGTAAAAATGAGGATAGGATCCTTAGTTCCTTCTAACAGATGTCTCCATTCTTTAAGAGCTAAGATAATAGCAAGGAGTTCACGATTACCCACATCATAATTCCTTTCAGCTTTGGACATTTGTCTAGAAAATAAGCCACAAGGATGCAATGGCTTTTCAGGCGATTCTCTTTGGGACAAAACAGCACCTACCCCGATTTCAGAAGCATCAACTTCAAGAATATAAGGCAGTGAGGGGATAGGGTGCTGTAAAATAGGTGCAGAGGCGAATGTAATTTTAAGAAAGTCGAAAGCCTGAAGTGCCTCGGGAGACCAGACACGAGTATTACCACCCTTTTTTGTCATATGGTGATAGGTGCTACAATAGAAGAAAAACCTTTAATAAAGCGTCTATAATAGTTAGAGAAACCAAGAAAACGTTGAATTGCTTTCAAACCCTGTGGTAGAGGCCACTCTATGACAGCAGAAAGCTTCTGGGGATCCATACGAAACCCTTTGGCGGAAATCAAATACCCCAAGAACTGGACTTCGGATTGGTCAAATAAACATTTTTCTAGTTTACAATAAAGACCATTATTAAGAAGGGTCTTCAAGACCGTTGTGACATGTCTGTGATGAGTGTGTAAATCTGTAGAATATATCAATATGTCGTCCAAGTATACAATTACAAATGTGTGAATAAAGTCTCTTAGGACGTCATTAATAAATTCCTGAAATACTGCTGGGGCATTGCAAAGACCAAATGGCATAACAGTATACTCGTAATGACCGGTTCTAGTGTTGAATGCAGTCTTCCATTCGTGACCTTCCTTTATGCGTATTAAATTGTATGCACCTCTAAGGTCCAATTTGGTGAACACAGTAGCATGTTTCAGCCTGTCAAATAACTCTGTAATTAAAGGTATAGGGTATGCATTTTTGATAGTGATTTTGTTTAGACCTCTATAATCGATGCACGGTCTTAAATCACCCTCTTTCTTAGATACGAAGAAAAACCCTGCTCCAGCCGGAGAAGAGGATCTCCTAATGAACCCCTTTTCTAGTGATTCTTTAACATACTCCTCCATGATACGGTTTTCTTGAATAGATAAAGGGTACACCCTGCCCTTAGGAGGTATAGTGCCAGGCAATAAATCGATAGCACAATCATAGGATCTGTGAGGCGGTAATTTATCAGCTTCCCTTTTATCTAATACAGTCTTGAGAAACAAGTATTGAGGAGGTATAACAGTAGACAAAGGAGGAGTAGTAGGAACATTAATGGTATTTAGAGGGGTGACTTTAATCATACAAGAGTCGTGGCAGGTTTTACCCCATGATTTTAATTGTCCCAATTCCCAGTCAAAAATGGGATTGTGAGAACATAACCATGGGTACCCTAACACGATATGAGAAGAGGGAGAGGTGATAACCTGAAACCGAATGGTCTCAAGGTGTAAAACCCCTGTGTACATGAATAATGGTACAGTTTCATGGGTAACCACTGGAGTATTTAAAGGTCTACCATCTATGGCCTCAATGGCCAAGGGTATCTGCCTCTCTCTGACGGGAATGTTATTTTTCGTAACAAACTCAGAGTCAATGAAGTTCTCAGCAGCCCCGGAATCAACCAAGGCTAGTATGCTTTCAGCTATACAACTCTCTCCCGTATGAAGGGAAACAGGGAGAAGCAAACGGTTAGGAGGCAATTTAGGAGACTTAGATATCACACCCAAGGCCAGTCCCCTATAAGGTCTTAGGTGCGAGAGTTTTCCGGAAGCAAAGGACATTCCTTTACCATATGGTCTCGCCTACCACAGTATAGGCAGAGTCCGTTCCTTCTTCTAAGTAGTTTTTCAGTATCCAAGAGTTTGGCAACCCCTAATTGCATGGGTTCCTCCTCGGATACTTTAACACTCTCAGGTTTATCAACTCTGGGGTTAGTAGATGTGACCAGACGTCTATTCCTGTTCTTGGTATAGAGCCTGTCGCGAATCCTATTATCTATATCAATGGGGTAGTCAATAAGGTCCTCTAATGGAATAGGAAGCTCCCTTGCCGCTACCTCATCTAATATAGTGTCAGATAAACCTTCCATGAACGCAGTAGTTAACCCATTATTGGTCCAATCTACCTGTGAAGCAAGGGTACGAAACTGAATAGCATAATCAGCCACAGACCTAGACCCCTGTTTAATTCTCATTAATGCTCTTGCGGCATTCTTTGACCTTTTTGTTGTGTCAAAAGTTCTACGAAAAGCCGTAAGAAAGCTGTTGAAATTATGCACCATAGGTCCATTGGCCTCCCAAATAGGATTTGCCCACTCAAGTGCTTTGTCAGTAAGTTGATGCATCAAAAACCCCACTTTAGACCTATCAGTGGGAAAGGAATGAGGATACATCTCGCGGTTGCAGGAATAGTTCTAGACAAGAGCGTCTGGAGAGCCTGTGCTATCTGATCCAGTGGCGTACACATGACCCATGGGGCCCCGGTGCGAAAATTGATCCGTGGGCCCCCCCGCAACACATGGCGGTGGGCACCTGGTCACAGGGGTTACAGGGCTGTGACCCCTGCGACCGCGGTATGTACGCCAGTGCATGCAGATGCACACACACTTAAAGGACCACTACAGACACCCAGATCACATCAGCTCAATGAAGTTGTCTGGGTGTCAGGTCCCTCTAGTTTTAACCCTGCAGCTGAAAACATAGCAGTTTCAGAGAAACTGCTATGTTTCACTGAGGGTTAATCCAGCCTCTAGTGGCTGTCTCACTGACAGCCGCTAGAGGAGCACACTGAACGTCCATAGGAAAGCATTGAGTAATGCTTTCCTATGGGCGGTTTGAATGCGTGCGCGGTCGCATTCGGAGCTGAGAGGCTGAGGGATCCCCAGCGCCAAGGGAGTCCGGCGCTGGAGAAAGGTAAGTGCTGA